GTTTTACTGAAAATGTGGTCAACATTTTAATTCACGTGTTTGAAAAAAAGTGGAGAGCCTGTAAACCGAAGCATATTGTCGAGCTTGCAGGTGTTGATGTGTAAATACGAATTAATTAAAAATGAAGCAATATAAATGTGTCGATCCATTAGAGTTGAAGACCTTTTTTCGATTTAGTCGTATATTATTGTTGTTTCACATATACCGCGACTGTTTCTTCAGTGATATAGTTTTTTGAATCTGCCCCTGGATTCTTCGTCGAGAGTGATAATAAATCTTGTCGTAAATGTCTTTGAAGATGTCTACTTGTATTCTCGATAATGATTCAAATACCGCAAGACTTCAGTATTCCGCCGGGTATCATTAATTACTGTATACAATGTTTCCCCAGTTTACAGAAGTCAAACATTAATATATTGTTCGATTGTCACATTTATGTTTCCACGTGTACTACATTTTCATTTGATCCAAATAAACCCAGATGTGGACCACCTTCAAGGGACATTTGATTACAGAAAATGACTAGGAATCTCCAAGTTTGGTTTCAGTAAAATTCTGGGATTTCAAAAAATGTTGAGAACCTTTTTTCTCATAATCATATGTGCGATTCATTGTTATGGTTTCCCAGTGAAGAGCTTTTTGGTTAGTCATCAAGCCCCCCCCCCCCGGGGGGGGGGGGGGCTACTTGCATAGAAGTTCAATACGGATATGTGCCGCACGACTGGGGTGTCATTTCGCGTTATTTTGTTTAGAAGTGGGTAGCCATTTATCAATGGTTTGGTTTAGAAATGTGTAGCATTTATTTACTTTTTCACATATCTTCATATTGATAGCCAAATACTGGAAAAGCTGAATAAAATGCATTGCCCAGATGCGCTCACTGGTTGCGAAAGTTGTGAGCTGGGTGTTTTTTTTTTTCGCTAAAAATACTTGTGTTTAGAAGTGGGTATACAAACAGAAAAAAACAATGGTTTAGAAGTGAGCATGGTTTTCGAGAGGTGGGCTTCACACCTTTGCCCACTTAATGTGGAAGTAGCCCCCCCCCACGGGCTGGAGAGGTGCATCCACCACATCTCTAGCTAAAAACGTGAAAATATAAATGGCGATCTAATAAATTGAGGCGGGGGAGTCGTCACCTACGCATGCGTCAGATGGCCATAGCGTGTCATTGTTTACAAACAAGCGTCTACCCATGAGCCTTTGCGTGTGTAGTTATCGTCGCTTAGGACTCAATTCCCGTGCTTGCGCAGGTGACGACCCTCCCGCTTTAAGTTATTTGTGTCAAAGACATCGATGAATAACAAAGTGAAAGTTAGCGTAGTATATGTTTTATTGTAAAATATATATGAAATAGATATGGTAGATAACATGGCTGAGCTGCTCAACTAATCAGGAGTTAACATGGCTGTCGTCGAAAGTGATTGGTTTGTGTAGACAGGCACGCTAATTATTCATATATCAATTCCTAATTGTATGGCGCCGTCTATAGTCTATAAGTAGAAATTATTCTATCTATGACATGAATTTGTATTTTAACTCATTATATATTGTCCTGTTGCTAATTTGTTGTCCCGAATTGTCCATAATGGTACATTGCTTGTCTAGAACTCGTCACGTAAACATTGTCTGGGTTTTCGAAAACATGCTGTGAAAAATTGCTCAGAATGTTATAGTTTCTTTCCTGAATATAAAAAAACACCAACAACCGCTCGAGTAGATTGAAATTGTCGGAAACATGCCAAAAAGCGGAAAGTGTTCATAAAAACCTCGGTAAAAAATAAACTAACCTGAACTCGAATTTTGTACATTCTCCAGCCACCCCACTTTTTTGTGGGTTTCCAACAATTCCACTATGATACCGTATAATTTGAATGTGCGCCAATTGGACCAGAATATGCACCGAATCACCACCAAGAGGGGAAAAGTAAATCGTTTGAATCCCGTGCCAAATATACAAATTCACTTTCTACTGAACTTGTACTAAGTACATAATAATTTATTCCTGTCTAAAATAAAATCCTCTTTTTTTTCTTCATAAGTATGATCATTGTTACGATTTGTTCCTCTTCTCAAAAACATCGCACCGGAACTAAGCGGATACCCATATATAATATCGCTCTAGAACCTCTCAGTCTTCATGACGTGGCGAGTTTAGTCTGGATCCGCATCAATATACCAGGCATGTCGTAATGTTTGCAGTAGTCTGCCGCTGTTTCCACCGTTTTTGGTGACGTAGATTTCTGTGAAGAAAACAACGTGACAATGAGCACAATGTACACGGGCATAATACACCGATCACATGTAGTGTGCGGCACGTCTCATAATATATGTTCGACTCTGCCGGAAGGCCGCTTGCCGCATGCGCAGGTGACGACTTCCCCGCTTTAACCCCGGCCAAGAAAAGAAAAGTAATTGTTCCTTTTGTGTCAATTCTTGTTTATTTTTGAAAAATTACACGTGGCGAACTCATTGTGTCTCTCCTTAAAGTAGGAACTGTAAATACGCGACAAAACAACTAGGGCATTTCATATCATCGACATCTCTAAAACAAGTGCCAGTGTAATAGATACGTACCAAGTATTCATACTGGAGATTCACGCCACTATCTATGAGAAGTTGAGCCATATCGGCATGTCTGCACCGTATTGCTCGCATCAACAGCGACTCTGTGCCCCACTAGAGAAAAGGAATGTACGATTCATAAAATTGACGTTATTACATATCAAATGGTGTACGTCTCAAATTTATATTACCAAGCAGAGATGGGACAGTCGAAAATAAACATGCCCAAAAAGATGGGTATAAAGCGTTTATCAATTGTGTGTATCTAATTGCAAGCGTGTCTCAAGTATCTGACTTTATAGAAGTCGGCAATGTCTGGTTGGAAACAAATTTTTACAGGGTGATCGGAATGGTTAGATATAGTATTCGAGAGCCGGGGCACTAGAACCTGGCGATTGGCGCAGACTTATTTTGAAACAGTGTGGTCGCCATATGTCCATGTACGGCTACTTATACCAGCCATATTGTTTGTCATTCCTTTCTCAAGTATCAAATTTCATTACGTAACGAATAAAAATGGTGTACATTTACTTATATGGCACCTAAATCGAAAAATTTGAAGCGCGTCAGTGTAAATTTCAATGGATGAAGAATTTATAATGGTTTTCACGACGAGAGACTCACCGGGATTTCGTTGACATCAACTCCTTTTTGGATCGTGCTTCTGGCAACATCTGTTTCGCCTTGTTCCACGGCGTTCTTTAGAATCTAAAAAGCAGAAAACGTATCAAAGTTGCATAAGTAATGACATTCCGGAGTTGCCAGCGAAACTCAAATTCGATACAATGCCAGATGATTCGATACATCATTATACCTTGAGTGAGTTTCAATATTATTAATATGGTACATGTAGAAATTCAAAATGTTGTTTTGGTCGCTTACAAAATGAGGAAATAACGACCTACGCGCATGCCCATAGAAATGCTGGTACGTAATAGCAAATTATTTGCGTAGTATATTTTGCGTAACGAATGCGTGCGGAAAAAGTGACGGTTTAAATTTATCTTAATAATAATTCGATATGTATATATACAGCTTCATGATAATAAATGCTTAATATTTAAAATCACAAAATCAATGTGACCAGATTGAAGTTGATCACATGGAAGAACGGCAATATCAAGAATAAATACGCGTTTGAGTTCACACGTGCAGTATACGTTCCGTGGGCCTGAACCTTTTCACCCCCAGACTTTTTCTTCCAAATGTGTCTCCAATTTTTTTAATATTCTTCAATATTTCTAGAAATGAACCGTAGTTTTGGAGCCAACAAACATAATTTTAGTCATTTTTTTAATCAAAAATTTGGCTATTTTTGTCCCAATCTCGTGAAGGAAAACGCAGACTTTAAACATGACTATTTTGTGAATTTGTGATGAAAAGAGGGAACTCGTGGTGAAAATGTTAAATCGAACAAGATGCGGTGCGGCAACTGTGACGCTTTAAGTGTGAATAGTGAACAGCTTTTATAAGCCAATACCTCTAATAGTTCTTTCTTGTGTGCCATCTTGATGACGATGACGACTGTTGCACTGTATTATATGTAGTAATTACCACTGGTTCAGTCTAGTTTAAAAAGTGCCAACACTACCTGAAATGAATAACGAAGTAGAATTGTATGTAACTGGGAGCCAGGTGGTATTAGTAAATAGTAAATCAGTCATAGTAAAACAAACTCGAAAAGACACATGGGTTATGTAGTTGACTTCCATAGCCAATGAAATTGGATTTTCTGAATGAAACGCAAGCGTCTTTAACTGTAAATGTTTTATAAATACTTTTTATAATTTTTCATTAAAAAATACTTACATGTCTTCATGAAATTTACTATACCGTTCACCCGTAAAGTTTGATTATTATTGAAAAAAATAATTATTATTTTCTACTCTCAGAGGAGTAATATAATGGTAAATTGAATGTTCTGAACACCACAACAAATTGGTTAAAGGGCGGTGGTCGTCGCGCTGCGCATCTGCGACATTAGTGTCGATAAACATTGATTTTCAATCCAATCCAATGCGCACTTCTAATGGAAATCATAAGTATGAGGCAAACCTGGGCGCGACTTGCACTAATTACTGCTGGTGACTCCTTCGATACCTTCTAATCACCTAAAAAAGACCTAATTAAAGCTTGGTAACGTCTCAGTTTGTATTCGTTGATCTGCACAACAGTGAAAGTCGCCATCTTTGTTTATATGAGACCCGTATATCTCGCGCATGCGTGGCGCGAGGACTGACGCTCTTTTAATGATATGCATTAGCTACGTATCGTTTTAGCAATGTGATGGAATATCTTAGAGTGGTTTGGTGTCAAATTGCCTAATTTGTGTAAACAAATCGTAGCCATGTGTTTCCTGTAAACTGTGGAGCGATGGAAATTCAAACACGTAAATAAAATGAGCGTATCTGTTTTCTTATTTGCAACATGTGTAGAGGTACACGATACAGTGGGTAGCTACAATAGCATTCACTGCTCCGAACCGGGAACAACGTTGCAAAGTCAAAAATATCTTAAAATATCTAGAACATTTACTCTCTCATTTCAGTTTCAAGTTGCATTTAACCCAATAGACTTGATACTGAATGCAGCAGAAACGAGAGTTTGTCAAACTAACGAATAATTTCATTTTCTTTTGGTTTGCGCCCTCTGTCAACGAGTCGGTAAATGTATACGGGATTACTAGTAATATTATCTTTTTACTAAAAGTAAGACGATACAAATGTTACAATCCATAAGTATGCATACGCAATACCAGTATTTGTTTGGTTTGTATTACACCATGGAAACGAGACAAATGTAATGTTGACAGTTGTGTTATTTGCTGTGTGTGGCCTTTTTGAAGCATTAGTATTTTCTTTTTACGTAATGATGCATAGAGCCAGCGACATATGCATTATTAAATAAACATTGCCATCAAATGTTCTAAAACGGTCATTTGTTTTGTTTTTAATTTGAAGAGATCTGTGTAAGATCATATCATCATGGTTCAGGGCGGTAGTCTTCGCGCCACGCATGCGCGAGATATATGGGTCTCATATAAACAAAGATGGCAACTTTGGCTGTTGGCAGATCAACGAGTACGAACTGAGACGTTACCAAGCTTTATTAGGTTTTTTAGGTGATTGGAAGGTATCGAAGGAGTCACCGGCGGTAATTAGTGCAATGTCGCGCCCAGGTCAAACCTCATACTTGTGATTTCCATTGAAGAGTCATTGAATTGTGGGAAAATTAATGTTTATCAACACAAATGTCGCCCATGCGCAGCGCGACGACTGCCGCCCTTTAAGTTAAGAGGCAAGTCTGTCAAAACCACCTGTTGATGGCAGTAGAAGACGCCTATAAAAGTACAATAACACCGTCCGTACGTAGAAGGGAAATCATACAGGTAGAGACTTAAACACATATTTGATTACATTCTACGAATGATCAAGTTGTCTAGGCAGAACCATAAACCAATTAAAGGGTACAATTCACTAGGTATCATAATCCACCGACAAAGACCTACATGGTCGGCGATAGTTATTGCGCCCTCGCCGACTGTTTCACTCGATGCAAACGGGATATTCATTGACAGAGCTTTCGAGAAAGTGTACATGATTACATGGCTGATATTTCCATGTTCTTTGCGACAATGATGCATGAACTGCACGCATATTACGACAATCGAAAAAGAATTCCCTGAAAATATATATCGCGCTACACGATTGACCCCAAATCAATCAATATTTGCATGTTATAGCTTGTTGCATATGTAAAAAGGTCATTAAATACCGTCATCAAATCGTGTCCTTTCCCGGAGATCATATTAAAATATCAAGACCTATTTTCGTTTTCGGTAATGCGTTGCACTGACGCATAGTTGTTACAAGGGATTACGACCTGTGATCGGCCAGGTACAAAGGCTGATACAAATATTCGAAATCACGAACACCATACTAAACAAACCGCAGCGACAACGTCCCCTGAGACTGTCAACACTGGATTTAGTGTGTTATATCGAATCATAAACGAGACAGTTCAGTAATGAATCTTATTCAACAGAATTCATTTATAATCTACTTCTGTTCAGTTTTCACCTACCTTAACTGACAGCTTTCCAAATTATCAGAATCCCCGAGAATGTGTTCAGTCGCCTTTTAATAATCGTGTAGTGAATGTACTAAGGCAGTATCTATGGTAGTGTTTATTGTTTGAGCAGTCAGGGGTCATTGACTTCGCACAGGCGTAGTACAGTAGTACTTACAGGCATTCTCCGTCGCAGATACTATGGGTCTTTTATCACTAAGCTAGGTAGTCGCCAGGGAACGTTCCACCAATTGCAGCTCTCTGTGGCTCCCTAGGTCAAGAAGACTCTGCAAAAGAGAGTGACTTACAGGGTCATTAAAAATCTCATTTCGTATGCAAATTAGTTGTATCGCTAAGCATCATGGGAACACGCCTGGCGAAATTAATGTGCCCGGCCGCTGAACAAGGCTTGTCGGCGACATCGACTACTACAGACCGAAATTCTGCTCAATATTGCGCTGTTTGTGGAATATAAACGCAAACACCTGTAACGGCGTTGCATTGTATGTAAGAAAAGTTGAGTTTAGTTAAATTACTTTCCCACAATTGTAAATCTCAAATAACTGAAACAGATTTGAAAATAATTAAACACATACAGCAGCTAAATTATAAAATATTTAAAAAAAAAACATTTAGCCTGGAAGACCTTCACACTTCATTCAAATCTGAAGAATGTGCTTTCATTGACTTAAAACGACATTTAATAACTTCCAATACCCATGATTCATTGCGGGTTTTATTCAACCATTGGCAGATTCACTGCAATGTCTAGTTAATTTTCAACTATCAATCAAAATTTATAAAACATAAATATTTTATATTAAATAAAAACATTCATGTCTTCAAGAACTTATTGTAAGAGTGATATATATATATATATACTAGTATGTAAGTAAATATATGTTTTTGCAGTTGTTTTCTAGAAAACAAATTTAAGAGGGAGCACACCTTTTCTATCATTGGTAACACTATATTTGTTATAACTGATCATAATCTACTGACTGTTCCAGGTTTGGTAAGAGGGCGCAAGTCTGGGGTGTGAATGCGCTGCATCCCTGTTTGCAAGAACCCTTGGGTTTGTGCAATAAATGCACTTGTTCTTAAATCCCATTTTTCAAGGACAGATAAAGTCTATCACATCTACCTGTAAATAAAGGGAAGTCTGCTCTACCATTGTTTGCATGTGCAGATGAGTTCTTTTATTATTATTGAAGACAAGATTGAGAAATAATATTTAAACATTATTTGGGGCCATCTTTTTTGGAACAGTTGATGTGGTATAGTGAGGTGCATGTCTGCTTACAGTGGATAGGAATCATGGTAATCAGTTTGAATTCTTAATTGAATTTAACATATTTGTAACATGCCTTTAATTTATATTTATATATCAAGGTAACAAAAATAAAAAATAAATGTCCAAACCTACAATGTACATTAATTTGTTAACAGATTGCGTTAATTAATGCCAAATCATTCAGTATATGGAATACTTGTATAGCCTTCTCCCCTTCTCCATCACAGACTACAAGGAGTAAAATAATATCATCATATACTGTACAATACTTTATTTTCGCTGGAAATAATTTTCGTTGAAAAAGCCTTTTTGGGTGTTTTGTATGGAATTTATTTTCGCTGATTTTTGACGAGTTGCATGTGAAATATAGGACAAAAAGTATATTCACTGGATTTTGTTTTCACTGAAGCATCCCTTCAGCGACAATAAATTCCAAGCGAAAATAAAGTATTCCACAGTACCAGGTACTTTGTAACTTCATGGGAAGTGTGCCATACATTAGGGCAATAATTTCACGTATAACGCCCGGCCGAGCAGCCGGCTTTCATCAATCGAAACAAAATGCGTCATTCTAAATTACATTGTGTGTTTGAGGTCATATCGTGGTGAAATTGTAATTACATCTACAGGGTACCTTATATGGTATAAAAGCTTTAAGGACTGGATACTGCTTTTGCTGCCCTTGGTCGTATGGCTTACACGCACTCGCAAGCTTGGACGCTTCTGCCGCACGGTCTCTGGCTGCAAAAGCCGTATCAAGTTCATTAGGAATAATACCAGTATCCAAAGTTATTGTTTCAACCATTTATTAGCTACTCATAATGCAACACTGCAAGTAGTACATTTGATCCTACTTTGCATTATAAATTTGTATCACGATAGGCCTTTTAATCATTTTGCTCAATTATATCTCACTGAATTACTGGCCTTAGTAACTGTCGTTACTATGATCCTGTGAGTTTTCTCTGTTTCACAGAACTAAAGTAAATCATTATTAATTATATTATTTGTTTTAATTACCGTACCAACAA